TTTGAGCACTTAGACTTATTGGGCCTAAAGCCCATTTCGAACTGGCCTAGTTTGACTAGTTAAATAAGGGGGCGGATCTGGGATTAAATCAGTAGATAGGATAGGGTCTTACCCTATCCACTCAGAGAGTCCAGATCTGAAAACCTCCTAATGAGATTAGGAGAGAGCTGATCTAATCTGCAGATAAGATAAGGACTTATCCTTATCTCTTAAAGAGAACTCCTAATCCAATTACAGTTTTGGATTAGGAAACTCCTAATGAGATTAGGAGCTCTCTTTAAGCCTATAAAAGGAGGAGGGGGCGAACCATTCAGATCATCCTCAGCATCCCAAGCCTCTCAGAGCACCCAGAAGAGAAGACAGCAACAGTGTGACTGTGCCATCTTCTCCTTGTGTTTCCTCCAGTTGCTGCCATACTGCCAATTCGATCTCCTTCCTTTGTAGGAGCGATCAAGAGGTGTCTTGATAACAGTCTTTGGAGAAAGGCTGATCAGAAGTCGTGCTCACTGCCTCCATCGAATTCTTAGTAAAGAATTCGGTTCGTTGGATGGATCCTATTGATTCTGCTCCACCATTCACTATGTCATCTTCAGTGGGAGCAGTCTTGGAGTCTTTCTTTGGGCGTGAACACCTTCGTTGGGAGATATTGCATCTTCGTATCAGGTATATCCCTCTCCTACAGTTTTGGTTCAGATCTCGTTTGGTTCTTGGTTCAAGATTGATCCTTGAAAATGCAATTTTTCTAAAACAGGGAATATGATTCCCATATGGGAGAGAGAAATTTTTGAAATTTCGCCTACCTTCCTACAGGGTTTGGCTATCCATATGATGGATCTCTCATCCCTTCAGTGGTATCAGAGTCATGGTTCAAATCTTGAACCAAATTAAATCAGATCTGAACCTACGCAAATGGACAAAAGGCGTTCTACCCGATTTGCGCAGATTATGGTTTTTTCTGGGAAATCGGGTCCCAATTAAAGGGTGAATGATCTGAAATTAATTTTTATAAATCTGGATTATATTTAGAACTATTCTTTATTATTTTCTTGATTTATGGGTTGTTCGTAGAATTGGAGATCGAAATCTTGATTGGCGCAGTGAACCTACGATTTGCAGTTTTTCTTTTAACATTCTGGTTTGTAAATAATTTTTTTTATTTTCTAGACTGAATGTATAGGATTCGATCAAATGTAATATTAATAGAAAAACTAGGGTTTTCTATTTATTTTATTTTCTTGATCGAAGATGGCAACGCAGAAGGAGATTTCGCAGATACATAAATCGCTATCTGCGATTTGCAGTTTGTGAAACTACAAACTGGGTTCTGACATTTGTTTTGCAGGATGGAGGTGTGCGAACAACCCCATGACTGATTCTTGCTTGTTCTTTAATCAGTAATTAATTTCATATCGTTTTCTTGAATTATTACTTTAATTAAAAATCAGACCCTAGACCCATTCAAACCAGATTTGTTCAAACTGGTTGGGCCGAATATGTGGTTCGATGGAGGCTGATTGTCAACCCTAATTTCCCACTTTTGGGTCAAGGGATTGATGGTTAATTACGAGACTTAATTCGGCCCACACCTATAAGGCCCATTACGGGCTAGTTTGTCGGGCGGGCTGTGCTTGGCCCATTATGGGCCCGTGGGCCGTGCCGTGGCATCCTGGCCCATGAACTTGAAACCCCACGGTTCACTCGATCGTATCGTACCTTGACACGGCCTAATTTACACATCTAACATCCAGGTACGTGCCAGCTTAGATCATAAAAAAAACACATGGCTTTCTTGGTTTGAGAAATTAGCAGTTGGGCTAAGCTCTACGACTTATCTCTCCATCACAGATCTTTACAACTACGTGGCGTTCTATGAACTTATGACATGTGACGGGAAAAGGTCGACCTACCCAACGGTCCAACGCAACGCAAGCACAATCGTAAAACCTCGAACTTTCTTGGCCTCTATACCCCCCACTCTCCAGAATCTTCGAGGTTCCGGGTATATGTGGAGCCCACGTCACCTACTTACTTCATGCGAAGCCAAAGCCATCCACGTTACATCAAATAAATGGGAAGGCCCAGATCGGTGACGTGGAACTCTATCTTCCACCATTCGTGCTGCTCCCGGATTCTATATAAACATTTCCTCTCCCATATTCTCGCAAGACGAAGTGCATGGTTGGTTACTCGAGCAAGTTGAAACTTGAAAGCTAGCCGTAGCTGATAGTCGTAACGCTCGGTTTCTCGCTCTTGTGCTGACGATTTAGCTTTCATTCAAATCTCCTCAAAGCGATCATCGTTCAGATGGCGAGCTCAGTATCCATGCAATCCATCTTGGTGAACCCCGTGGCCGTGGGGCGCCTCGGTCACAGAGGCAGGCCATCAAGCATGGTCTTCCCTTCTACATACTTCCCACGCCAACAAAAGAATGGCTGCACTCTGCAAGTTCGCTGCATGGCTGAGGTAATAAGTCCTGTATCTCGTTTGTCGCTGAGAGATATGCTAAATCTTTGGCCCTGGTTTCGTTTCTTTTAGTTCACCAACACCAACACCTAACATCTTTGGTTTATTTGTCGGTGTACCAGGAAAGCCAGAAAGAGCAGAAGTCATCGCCGGTGAGTGCTCCCCCGTCACCACCCCAGCACACCACCCCTTCTGGTTCACCAAAGGTGAGTTTCTATAATTGCCCATGCGCGTGAGTTTGGAAATTAGCTTCATCGTCTGACTGACGCATGCTTTAATCTTGATTTGCTTGTTTCGTGTTTGTGCTAATACATAACTACAGGTCAGCACCAAATTTACGGACGTGCTGGCGTTCAGTGGGCCCGCACCCAAGAGGAAATGAGAGACATACAACCGAGAGATTTGGGATCCCAAGGATTGGGAAATGGAATGTATTAGGAACCCCTCTATCCAAACTGCTATAGCAGCCCAATACGGGAGTTGTTCAGGCTCAATTTATTTCGGTGAAAAATAAAAATGATTGCAGGAATTTCTTAAATCTGGAGAAGCATGATTTCAATTTCTCCTAAGACCGATTTTGAGGTGATGTTATCAAGTCTTAGGTACTGATTTCCCTAAAACCCACGCCTGTCTGCCTCTATTCTCAGTCAAGAAGAAATTGAAAATGATGGTTCTCCAACATTTCAAAACCTCAGGCAACCCAGAAAAAAACTAAAAAATGACTTACATTTCGTATATACCTTGTCAAAAGTTTTTCAACAGCTAGTATTGAAAGAATGATATGATCCATCTAATGGACGCCAAGAAAGTTGCGGAATGGGTGGGCGAATTTCAAAAATTTTCCTACCTTCTTCCAATTGGGAATCATATTCCCTAAATTTAGAATACAATATTCAAAGATTTTACTTGAACCATAATCAAAACAGAAGAAACCAAGATCCGCTCCTGCTGAAGATGACATAGCTGTAGGAGGAACGGAACCAGCAGAGTGCGTCCTACACACTGGATCCTTCGCAAGAATCCTTTGGAAACTCTGAACACCGAATCTTCTTTAGTCTTTACTGCAAGACTGATGTCAAGAACTGATTTCTTGACTTCTTTCCTCTACAAAGATTGAATCTTGTGAGAAGCGGCGGCGGCTGGAGGAGAACTCCAAGAACGAAGACAGAATAATTGCTTCTCTTCTCTCTAGAGTATGAATGAGATCTAATCTCTATTCGTAGGAAGCTTTCTTGCTTCCTCTGAAACCCTTGGTTTGAAATCTGATATGTTTTTTCCTTGGGTTTCTCCTCCTTTCTTCTTGATTAAGAAACCTCCTAATTARGAGTTATCYCAATCMAAATCWGTATTTGRATAGGGGATTATCTTAATCCTATCTGCAGATTAAGTTAG